ACCCCCCCCCCCCCCTTGTATTCTATTTTCCCAAAGGTCACAGCTTAGAAGTCATAGGTGTTTCCTTAGGCCTTTGCGAAATAAAAGTGAACTCTTCCTGAATGACTGTAAGATCCTTAATTCATTCCTTACAGATAGTATTTGATGAATGTCATAAAGCAAAAAACTTATGTCCTGTTGGCTCTTCAAAGCCCACCAAGACTGGCTTAGCAGTTTTAGAGCTTCAGAACAAATTGCCAAAAGCTAGAGTTGTTTATGCCAGTGCCACTGGTGAGTAGTTGGCTTATTCTTAAAATATCTATCAGGTTATCATTTCAGCTATAATATATTTCATTTGGCTTTTTCTCAGGGGCTTCTGAACCACGCAACATGGCCTATATGAACCGACTTGGAATCTGGGGCGAAGGGACTCCATTCAGAGAATTCAGTGATTTCATTCAAGCAGTGGAACGGAGGTGATGCAGTTAGTTTGTGGTGTACTCTGTTTTCAGTAGGAGAAACATGTTCTTGCTAAAACCTGTTTGTTAAAGGTCTGTTTTGTCTGTTGGTAGTTACTGTGTGTTTTCATTTTATTCAGAGGTGTTGGTGCCATGGAAATAGTTGCTATGGATATGAAGCTTCGAGGAATGTACATTGCTCGACAGCTAAGCTTTACTGGAGTGACCTTCAAAATTGAGGAAGTTCTTCTTTCTCAGAACTATGTCAAAATGTATAACAAAGCAGTCAAGCTGGTGAGACTCTTTCATAATTACTTTTTTTTTTTTATTTTGGAGGGGTTTTTGCTATAGGGCGTGTGTGCTCGCCAGCCAGACAGAGAGACACAGAAAGAAAGCGAGAAATCACCCCCCCGGGGGGATGGCCATGCCAAAATCCCTTCTCCTCCGTTCTCCTCTTGGGATCTTGGGCACGCACACACACGCTCCCGGCGTGAGTTTAAGCCACCAGTACGGGGCTGAAACCTCAGTCAGCTACGTGGGAGTCCAGCGACGTAGCCATTACGCTCACTGCTGGTCCCATTACTTATGTTTTTAATGTATCTTATAATATTGGTTAGTTTGTCCATTTTAACATTTGCTAGCCCACAGGAATTTTTTTTAAGACAGAGGTTTCTTGCTATAGGGCACATGCACTTGCCAGAGAGACGGAAAGCCATAAATGATGTTTGCTGTAGGGCACATAGGCTGGCGGAGGGGGCGGGGAGGCAGGCAAGGGGAGTGGGGAAACATCCCCTAGGGAGGTTGGCCAGGCCACAGTCCCTTCTATTCTTGGGGTTTGAGACACACATGCTCATCTACCCATATGTTTCTTAAGCCACTGAGCCTGAGCCTCGAACTGTGAAGTCAGCCATGTGGAATCCAGCTGACCTAACCACCGCACTGTCTGCTGGCCCACTCTTCAATGTTAAATAGTCTTGCAGCATTTAACATTACTTTGATTGACTTGGTCATGATTTAATAACTTACATTCGAAGATGATGTCTAAAGCTTTCTTTCTTGTGTATTGTCAGTGGGTCATTGCCAGAGAGCGATTTCAGCAAGCTGCAGATCTGATCGATGCCGAGCAGCGAATGAAGAAGTCTATGTGGGGCCAGTTCTGGTCTGCTCATCAGAGATTTTTCAAATACCTGTGCATAGCATCCAAAGTGAAAAGGGTTGTGCAGCTAGCTCGAGAAGAAATCAAGAATGGGAAAGTAAGTTGAAAAGCACATCATGTTTTCAGTCTTTGAAGTTCCCTTGTAAAGGCTTGTCTTCCTAAAGCATTGCTGTAAAATAATTAGATGAGCATAATGTAGGCTTTAGAAATTCATGTTTTTAAATGACAAAAGTTGTCCTTGTTAAGAGAATATAGATAGCTCAAAAAACAAACAAACAAACAAACCAACAAGATAAACGTCACTGTGATTGGTCCACTGGGTGTGAAGTTTCTGGTGAATGTGTATCTTCTCAAAATACCGAGGACTGTGAGCTGGGCAAGGGCAAGGATTTGGTCATGCTCACTACTTCAGTCCTGTTTCCTAGTAGGATTTCAACACGTGGCACCTCTCAACTGTGTAGATAAATCAGGCATACACGTGCTTTACAGCGACGGGGTCATTGTGTTGGAACTCTGCATTTTTTACTAAGTATGTCAAATATGTCTTGATCAGAAACCATAAGCATGTTTTTATTTACAATTAATGTGTTTTCCTTTTCCTCTAGTGTGTTGTCATTGGCTTGCAGTCTACAGGAGAAGCCAGAACTTTAGAAGCTTTGGAAGAAGGCGGAGGAGAATTGAATGATTTTGTTTCAACTGCCAAGTAATGTTTTTGGTTTTCTTTTTCCCCAGACAAGTTCAAATATTGGCATTTTCGGAAGGCCAAATTTTTTATTCTCTTAAATTGTTCTTTTTTTTTTTTTTTTTTTGGAGAGGATTTTTTGCTATAGGGCGTGTGCGCTCGCCAGACAGACAG